ACCAAGCAAACAATTCGAAATGTCCAGAGCAGGCTGCAGCTTAGTCGTCTATGAGATAGAGAGAATAAGTCAACCACATTCAACTTCTCCTGGCACGAAAAATGCTTTAGATCATTGGTCACCTTCATTGCCTTGTTATCTAACGCGTTTGAATCTCTCACAATAAATCGAAAGTCGGGATTAGAAAGGTTGCTAACTGATGGAATAAGTCGTCCTCCTGAGAGTTAGGTTACAGTGGCTCTCTTTAAGTGTGATCTTTATGACCTTTTCGGGCATGTGAAGTTAGAGTCGATCTTATTGAAGCCGCTGTGTAAATATGGATCGACAAAACAGTTCTACTGACAACATTTGAGTAGTATTTTTTATTATAGTCGAACTAGCCATTAGCCTGATATGTTGCCTATCTGCGGGTACTCTTCTCTTATAGCTTGGTGCAGGCACGGGACTGTGCGGTCTTACCGCCCTTAAGTGTGGAGCTGCTTGGACTACCTTCTCGGACTTGCACGACGAACTAATTGTGGAAAGTTTGAATGACAGTTGTCGCAAAAACGACGTCACCACGTTTAACTTCATAGCTTCCGATTGGAACGACGTGCCGTCTGAACTCTTGAACGTTGACTTTGACCTCATCCTTGCGGCCGACTGTATGTTTGATAAGAAAGGTACTTTTTTTCTTGATCTTACCATCGAATACGCAATCCGCCCTACTTCAGTTGTCTGCGAAGTTGTTGTGCACCGTGCTAGGGACTTATCCTTTTGGGTAGATCTCATTTATACTTGCTGTTCTAACTATCTTGTATTTTTATATATTGCAAGACTGACTGTTTATACTTTCGGCAGAATTTCAATAGTGTGTAAAGGGCTACGGCTTGTCGAAGCGCCTTTCCATGATACTATGCCCACCCTCAAATTTTATGTCATCCTCCCGTCCTCAGAACAAGTTCGCAATTATAAGTGTAGTTCACCATCGTAAGAAGGAAGTTCATCCATCACGTTAAAGGATGTGCTCAGCCTAGAACCCCTGCCGACAGGCGCCTAACAATCAGTAACATAGGTGCTGATCGATCCTTCTTTGTGTCGATTTATGTTCCTCCATCTCTAATGGGTTCTCTGGGTCGTAAAATGAATCTCAAACAAAAAAAACTCCTTAGGCATCATTCATAGGTTTAGTTTTGAATGCCATTTGT